TTAGAGTAAAGTTTTAAGAGAGTAAAAGTAAAGTTATTTGTTTAATTATAAGTCTGTTATTTTACTCATTTTAGCGGCAGTAATTTTTCGGTTATGGTTGCTAACGGCCGTATTACACAGTTAATTGGATACCTAAATTTTGACAGTTAATGGGTTATTTAATATCTTAACATCTATGTCAAAGTTACTTAACTTTATAAAGCAAACCTGGTGGTGTATAACAATTATCTTGTCTGGAATGACTCAATAATGATTGCTTATTTTGTTACACAGTAAATTTCAATTTAAATAGGACATGTATTCTTACATGGATGTTCATGATCAGTTTAACATCCGAAGGTTTAATAATCAAATTAAAATGAGTTTCATCGGATCATAATTTAATATACATAAGAAAATGGGTAAATGGAACCATTGAGTCAATAGAAAAATTCAAGAGCATAACTTCGATTGACTTTATGTGTACATACGAAATTTTCATTACAATTATGATATTTGAAATTTAACAATCACTTAAATAGCCCTACTGTTTTACATTCCAGACCTTTCAACATAATAGCGTATATTTTTGCACTTAGATATATTTGCAGGATTTTAGATTATTTCCACAATGTTCTGGAAAGCAAATCAAATTAGAATCATCATTTGTCGACATGAACTCTGCTTCACACGACGCTTCCTATAGTATTAAGCATTAAACACCCATAAAAACGCAAATGTTTGTAACCTACGCATGAAATTTTCCATTATAAATTGTTGAATTTGTTTTAAAAAAAATGTTGTTCATGATTTATTCACCGAAATACACTTCCTTTATATAAATTTTATGCTGGTAATCATTCAATGAAACTATAAATATTTCATTATACCTCCTTATCATGATAACACAGTCTGCAGGGCAGATGTGATTCATCTGTGTATCCTTTAACAACAAAACTTTATTTCTACTCAAAACATAACATTTGTCTTCAGAATTTTTATTTTCACTGTTAAATTATTGTTAAATGCCGGTATGTTTGAACAGTTTTAACTCAATTTAATACAACGGTTGGTTCCGATATATTTACATGTTGAATTACTTGACCCTTATAACAACGATTGCTACTTTTAAAATATCATACTTGTAAATACATGTGTGGTTTTATAATGAAAAAACGACACACACACAAAACAACAACAACAACAAAAAAACAACAAATCAACATGCAATATTTTAATCAGTCAATTCGGAATGATTAATTTGATACTTTCTTAATAATTTAGGGATTTTGTTACAATATACACGAGAAAACTAACTAGACAGTTATTTGCAGTGTTTACGGCTTTCATCATATCATGTTCGTTTTTGTTTATAAACACTATTCCTATTGATACATTTTTGCACAACTCATTCATTAATGTTTGTGAATAAAATATAATCAAATATCGCAAGGTTATTAGGTAAAGTATATGCTTTTATGAAGTATGTTACAAAATATATATACATTTCGTCATTAAGCCCGAATCACTATGTTAATGATTTTATCATGTTATGTATGAAATTATTGACATTAACGTTCTTATAAGATGGACTTGATCTTTTGTCTGAGCGAAGTAACTTTGAAATAAACTTCTAGATAGTAGAATGATTTTCATAATGAAATATGAGTTAATTTTAAAATAAATATAGTTACTATACACTTAATTTTGTTTTTCAATACAGCCTTCCTTCATGATTTAATGATTTTTACTTTAGGCATAATAAAAAGGCTGAGCAGTAAATTTATATGATTATGTACTGTAAAGTAAAAGGTTTTATCATATGAATAATATTCTCTTTAATATATCATCTGAACAGAGGCTATCATTTATCAAAGTCGTGGAAAATACATGTAAAACTAATAATTACTGTTTACCGTGATTACATTAAGTGGAGAAACGCATATATCCCAGTCAATAAAATAATATATTGTTAAAATTAAATTGTTTGGTTAGAATTAAATGTGTAGCCCCGAAGTAGAATTAAAAATGCAGGAAATGGGATGATGTAATTTGATACGGACATTGCCCATCCCGTGCATCATCCCTTTAGAATTTGTGGTCAGTAAGCCAAAGGTCAAAGATACCCTTGCATTGACGACTGAAGACTTGTCCGATAACTAGGGAACGCTTCTCTTTATATTCATAAGATTTGCTGTGGAAGTTTGTCATTTCAAGAAGATGACTCTTAAAGATTTTGACATCAGCAAGTCAAAGTTCAATGCCGTGCTGCCCTTGAAAGTATTTAGAGTATAAGATTTTGAATGCAGGTATGTCATGACTAGTAAATACTTCTATTGGTTTTGGATGTCAAACTACAAGCTTGTCCGATCAATAACTATAGATTACTTTAGCCAACTATCCTAAGATTTAATGTGTAGATTTGTCATGAATAGGTGATGACCTCGACTGATTTTGAGGTCGATACTATTTTTGAATGTATGGCTTATTTAGATAATACTTGACTTTTATCAAACATGTATAAATATGTAAAAAAGAAATGTGTTACACCGTGACAGCAAATGAGCTGGGCATAAGTTTTCCTACAATTCTAGTTTACAAGAAGAATAGATACATTTTACTGTGAAAATTATAATTTAAGTTAACAAATTATCCAAGTTATCCACGTATCATAGCTTTATAGGAAAACATAACCATATAATTATGTAAGAATTGTCATTCATTTTATCAACACGTATAATTGCTTTAAGCATTTCTTATTTGTACTCATACATTTTCCTAACAAATAAAGCAATTAGCCGCTTACATTATGACATTAGTTTGACAAATTCGGTATGTGAAAGTGTGAGTAATTAAAACTGGGATTAACAAATTAGCTTCTTAACAATTCTGACAAATGACACAATGTTGTGCAGTAAGTATACAAAGTCACTAATGGAATTATGAAATACGACGATTACAAACAAAAACTAATTGATAGGTTTCACAAAGGATACGTTCGTTTTGTGATACATTAGTATATGCACGCTTTAACTCTTACCCAAATAGATAAAACTAGAAAAAATCATTGTTCTTTGCATTATATGAAAGTTTCATACCTATCTTTAAATATTGATGTTTGACCTTCATACAAACAATATTTGCCACATATTTTTCTACATAAAATTATTAAGTACAGTAATACAATATTATAATATAAATTGTTTATGTTCATAAAATTTTGAAGTTATTTACCTTAATCTTGTAGCCGTAAAAGTCCTTCGTAAAAAATGTTAAATCCTGCATGAACGTAATGGTTAAACCAGCGCGACTGCAAAAGGTATGCAGACCACATTATTTATAAATCGTAACAAAAGAGTAAACACACCTTTCTCCTGTCACTTTAGGTCAACAAACATGCATTTTCTGTTATCGATAGCCTTAATAATGTTACAGCTGCAGAGAATGAATTGTCATCCAGCCTTGGATAAATGTGACAAAATGTACTACTGGGGTTAAGATAAAGATTTCAGGCAGATTATATATTAACATCACATTAACCTTCTAAAATGAGGTTTTCAATGTTGTTGTTTTGGCTTGAGAAATAATGACATGGAATGTACAACAGTACAACGATAACAATCCTAGAAATTCAACTATTCTAGAATATTTTCTGTACATTTCCTTTTACAAACATCACATTAACTTTCGAAAATGAGCTTTTAAATGGCGTTGTTTTAGCTTGAGAAATAATGACATGGAATGTACAACAGTACAATAACATTCCTAGAAATTCAACTATTCTAGAAAATTTTCTGTACACTTCTTTTTACAAAATTTGAAAATCATCAAGAAATATCAAATCGCAGTTCGATTTTGTCTTGCTATAAGACGTAGTGAAGTATGCTTTATTTTTCAAATACATTTGAATACCCAATATGAAATAATGTATGGAATGGTTAACAAGGTTAACTCGAAGCATTATACTATAAGAAACTTTATTACAATATGTAAAGTATACCGTGGTAGGTTTATTGTTTCTCGCAATATCTCATGGTAATTAAAGATTTTTTTTCATTTGTTTTTTTGTATTTTAAATCAAATTAAAGTGATAACTTTATTTACCAGGTTACATTGTTGTTTTAAAAAATATGTAGTAAACGTAATGTTTGGCATTTGGTAATAGATACCATTTCCTGAGCAGAATGGAATGGATTTGCCTCAGATTAGTACCTTTATGTAAGACAATGCCTATAATCTGTGCAAAAATGTAAAAATATTGTCACAGCCAGGTCGTTCACAATACTTTAACTTACAAAACTAGATTACAATACCAGTATAAGTACTACAAAGAATGCAAACCAAAAGACGAATGAGAAACAGTTTTTCCAGACTGAAAACATCAGTACTTTACAAGGGCCAGGTTTTATTTTATTAAAAAACATGTTTGCACATTTGAGCCACAAATAATATGACTTATAACAAAAAACAAAAATATGAATTGCGACTATTTATTGTGAAAGAGAGAATAATTACTGCAATCATTGTGACATATGTTATTTTGTTCAAGTTAGATAGCTGTATATATGTATATATGTGTTGCATTCGATTGCTCTGTCACCTACTGTTTCTTATCTTAAGTAAATCAAAAGGTTTCACTGCAAGAGGCTTCCTGATTCAGCAAAAGTAAATCCATAAAAAGAACCTTTTATTGTTTCTCGTATTATTACATATTTGTGTATGAAATAAGTTCGATTTCGTTTTCCAATATATTAAAACTTATATACCTCAACGTTTTAGTTTATTACATGATACATACCTTAGACATCTTTGCCAACAAATAACCAATGTCAATGTTATTTGATATGCAATACTATATTAGAATAATATCTTTAACTCCTAATCTAGGAGATATACTCGTACAGCGTCACCTTAAGTCTTTCGAATTGAAACCAACTTATCTCAGAAACATCTGTTACCAATAACATTATATTTATTCAGGTACATACGTAAATAGCATGTCTATAGATTTATGTTAGAAAAGTCAATATATGGAGGATAATGACGTTTATGGAGACTTTCTTAGCTACATAATTCATACTGTTATATGTTTTCATGATAATATTTATTTTAGTTTGGTTTAAAACTTAGAATATGAGACAGTTAATCAAATATGGATATTAAAATGAAGACTTTCATATTGACAAAACTGGTGGTTTTTTACCAAAATATCCACTTGTTTTTGTGATATTCAGAGTAAATAATATATAATTAAAACGTTTAATGGCAGGATGGTATATCATGAACAACCGGTAACTATGGCTACAAACATGGAATATACAGGTGACTTAGATATTAAAAGTGAAGAAAATAGTGTTAACTGTCTAGACTGCCTTAATCCAAATAAGGATAAAGAAGATTTTTTCACTGCAATAGCAATCATATTAATGTCGTTTGGTTTGGCAATAATGGTTGTAGGTATTGTAGTACCACGTGACTTTGTCTTCAATCCATCACTTCCGGCACGTGAAATGGAGAGTATCGAAATACATTACGCCAATTTATCATTTTATCTGGATCTTGTTGCTGTGATTGGAATGGGGTTTATAACTTTAGGTGGAGTTATATCTTCGGGAGTTTTTATGTATCATTTTATCATCGGGAGTAGACAAGTTTATAGAAAAGATGACAGGCAGGATATTAATCTTCTTGACGGAACAAATCGTGAAATGGTGTCATATGGCACAAGTGAAAGTAGATAACAGTTAACTCTTATAAACAGAACAAAACAGAACTCTTATGTGTACCCCTGTGTAAGTGATTATTATACAATATCAGTTGCGGTCATTCACATCAAATGCAACTTGGACAATATTGTTTTTTATATGTCCGTGAAGTACGCGGGCTAACGGGCTGACAGTCTGGCGGGCTAACAGTGTGAACTGAGCGGGCTAGCAGTCTAGCGGGCTAACAGTGTGAACTGGGCGGGCTAGCAGTCTAGCGGGCTAACAGTGTGAACTGGGCGGGCTAGCAGTCTAGCGGGCTAACAGTGTGAACTGGGCGGGCTGGCGGGCCAGCGGGCTAAAATCTAAAACTTTATTGATTGAACATTAAAACCTCATGATACATTTCCTAGCAGTGTGAATTGGACGGGCTGACAGTGTAGCGGGCTAGCAGTGTGAACTGGGCGGGCTGGCGGGCCAGCGGGCTAAAATCTAAAACTTTATTGATTGAACATAAAAATGTTATGATACATTACCTGGCAGTGTGAACTGGGCGGGCTAACAGTGTAGCGGGCTAGCAGTGTGAACTGGGCGGGCTGGCGGGCCAGCGGGCTAAAATTTAAAACTTTATTGATTGAACATTAAAACCTCATTATACATTTCCTAGCAGTGTGAATTGGACGGGCTGACAGTGTAGCGGGCTAGCAGTGTGAACTGGGCGGGCTGGCGGGCCAGCGGGCTAAAATCTAAAACTTTATTGATTCAACATAAAAATGTTATGATACATTACCTGGCAGTGTGAACTGGGCGGGCTAACAGTGTAGCGGGCTAGCAGTGTGAACTGGGCGGGCTGGCGGGCCAGCGGGCTAAAATTTAAAACTTTATTGATTGAACATTAAAACCTCATGATACATTTCCTAGCAGTGTGAATTGGGACGGCTGACAGTGTAGCGGGCTAGCAGTGTGAACTGGGCGGGCTGGCGGGCCAGCGGGCTAAAATCTAAAACTTTATTGATTCAACATAAAAATGTTATGATACATTACCTGGCAGTGTGAAGTGGGCGGGCTAACAGTGTAGCGGGCTAGCAGTGTGAACTGGGCGGGCTGGCGGGCCAGCGGGCTAAAATCTAAAACTTTATTGATTCAACATAAAAAATGTTATGATACATTACCTGGCAGTGTGAAGTGGGCGGGCTGACAGTGTAGCGGGCTAGCAGTGTGAACTGGGCGGGCTGGCGGGCCAGCGGGCTAAAATCTAAAACTTTATTGATTCAACATAAAAATGTTATGATACATTACCTGGCAGTGTGAAGTGGGCGGGCTAACAGTGTAGCGGGCTAGCAGTGTGAACTGGGCGGGCTGGCGGGCCAGCGGGCTAAAATCTAAAACTTTATTGATTGAACATTAAAACCTCATGATACATTTCCTAGCAGTGTGAATTGGACGGGCTGACAGTGTAGCGGGCTAGCAGTGTGAACTGGGCGGGCTGGCGGCCAGCGGGCTAAAATCTAAAACTTTATTGATTCAACATAAAAATGTTATGATACATTACCTGGCAGTGTGAAGTGGGCGGGCTAACAGTGTAGCGGGCTAGCAGTGTGAACTGGGCGGGCTGGCGGGCCAGCGGGCTAAAATCTAAAACTTTATTTGATTCAACATAAAAATTTATGATACATTACCTGGCAGTGTGAAGTGGGCGGGCTAACAGTGTAGCGGGCTAGCAGTGTGAACTGGGCGGGCTGGCGGGCCAGCGGGCTAAAATCTAAAACTTTTATTAATTGAACATAAAAATGTTATGATACATTACCTGGCAGTGTGAAGTGGGCGGGCTAACAGTGTAGCGGGCTAGCAGTGTGAACTGGGCGGGCTGGCGGGCCAGCGGGCTAAAATCTAAAACTTTATTGATTGAACATAAAAATGTTATGATACATTACCTGGCAGTGTGAAGTGGGCGGGCTAACAGTGTAGCGGGCTAGCAGTGTGAACTGGGCGGGCTGGCGGGCCAGCGGGCTAAAATCTAAAACTTTATTGATTCAACATAAAAACGTTATGATACATTACCTGGCAGTGTGAAGTGGGCGGGCTAACAGTGTAGCGGGCTAGCAGTGTGAACTGGGCGGGCTGGCGGCCAGCGGGCTAAAATCTGAAACTTTATTGAATGAACATAAAATGTTATGATACATTACCTGGCAGTGTGAAGTGGGCGGGCTAACAGTGTAGGCGGAGCTAGCAGTGTGAACTGGGCGGGCTGGCGGGCCAGCGGGCTAAAATCTAAAACTTTATTGATTGAACATAAAAATGTTATGATACATTACCTGGCAGTGTGAAGTGGGCGGGCTAGCAGTGTAGCGGGCTAGCAGTGTGAACTGGGCGGGCTGGCGGGCCAGCGGGCTAAAATCTAAAACTTTATTGATTGAACATAAAAACGTTATGATACATTACCTGGCAGTGTGAAGTTGGCGGGCTAGCAGTGTAGCGGGCTAGCAGTGTGAACTGGGCGGGCTGGCGGGCCAGCGGGCTAAAATCTAAAACTTTATTGATTGAACATTAAAAACCTTATGATACATTTACCTGCAGTGTGAATTGGACGGGCTGACAGTGGTAGCGGGCCTAGCAGTGTGAACTGGGGCGGGCTGGCGGGCCAGCGGGCTAAAATCTAAAACTTTATTGATTCAACATAAAATGTTTATGAATACATTACCTGGCAGTGTGAAGTGGGCGGGCTAACAGTGTGGGCGGGCATATTACTGGGCGGGCTTTGGGGGCCAGCGGCAACTCAATATTTTAACCAATAAATAGTAAGAACTACTGTGATACTAATTGTGTCAGCATTACTTGCTTAATTAGATTTAAGTTAGCATTAAGCTCTAATTAAAATTACTGATTAAAAACATTTGAATCTAAGCAGGTACGTCGATTTGAACTTTGTAATTTTTTGTTTCAAGAGCATGTATATTATGTCCTCTGAATTGCTTTTGTTGATATGGGCAATTTTATTACAGGAACATTTCGGGAATAATGTTTTTAACCTTATTTGAACATTGATTTTTTGTAAGTCTAGTTTGCATATGGATTTTTTATGGACTCCACGAAGTGGGAGGCATATAGAGTTGCACTCGTCCATATGTACGTCCGTCCTTCCGTCCGTCATTTTTTGTCCGGAGCATATCTCAAAAAGTATTTAAGGTATCAACTTGAAACTTCATAGGTGGATAGATCAAAATGAGGAGGGAGTGCAGTGCACAAGAATGATAACTCCACCCTGCATAATTTTTGAGTTATTGCCCTTTGTTATTTTTTCAAACTTAATTTTTGTCGCAGAGAGCATAACTCAAAAAGCCTTTGAGATATTAACATGAAAACTTCATGGGTGGATAGAATCTCACTCAGGAGGTGTGGCAGTGCCCTAAGAATGATAACTCTAACCCTTCATAACTTTTTGAGTCATTGCCCCTTTGTCATTTTTTCAGACTTTATTTTTTCACCTGAGTGGAGCATTACTCCAAAGTCTTTGAGATGTCAACATGAAACTTCATAGGTGGATAGATCTTATTGAGGACGGAATGCTGTGCACAAGAATGATAACTCTACCTTTATAATTTTTTTGAGTTATTGCCTTTGTTATTTTTTCATATAGTGGTATAAACTTGAAACTTCATAGGTGGATAGATCTCAAGAGGATGAGTGCAGCACACAAGAATGATAATCTACCTGCATAATTTTTTGAGTTATTGCCCCTTTGTTATTTTCAGCCATCAGTATTCACATAGGTTTCAAATCTGTAATCACTTCACCCATCAGTTTTTCATTACCAAAAGACCTCTTTAAATTGAATTATTTTTGCTCTACTACATATACATTCTTACAATGAGCAAACACATTTGGCGGGGGATGGCCATGCTAACATGGCTCTTGTTAAGAAATATTTTCCTTGCGACCATGTTTTCATCACAGTTTATGGCCCCTTTGATAAGTTCAGTAATAAAATCTTGTGGCATCAGCTCTTCATTAACTCCTGACGATTTTTTTTTAAAACTTATACCAGAGGATCAAGCAGGGATTTATAGATGATTGTAAAGAAAATTTTTTTTTTCCTGCTGCCATTTTTTACCAGACTTATGGCCCTTTTGTTATTGCCACTCATAACATTTTTATGCATCAGGATACATTTTTGTGGCAATCAAACTTCAAATTTTCTACTTGGCTGATTTCTAATAAACTTGCACAGATGAACTAGACATTATGTGTACATTTGTTGTAAAGGAACTTTTTTTTCTTGCAAGCATTTTCTTCCCAGAGTCAATACCTTTTCTTTATGTTATTGTATAGCACTTACTCCTCATTACTAGTCATGATCACCACTTGTTCTTTAATATCTGATGCAAAGGTTTGTTACAGCAGTGGGAGCATCAGTGTCCTGAGGAACCCAGTCTAGTTTTAAAATAATTTTTTGGGAACCATCTTTCGTTCTTTCGTTTTAAACTTTATTGAATATAAAATTAGAATTTGAATAGTTTTTCTTGAAACGACAATCAGCAATTGTAATCTTTTTACGTTGACTGTGTAAATTCGAGTTTTATTATTGAACTACAAATTTCGTTAGGCACTTAATCCGGATATTTGTCATTTTGTTTCAATTGTTTGTTTTGTTTCCAAACTGTAATGATAATGTGATTTTGAAACAGAAGCTATATGACACTATTAACATCAATTTTCCAATAACTTCTCTGCATAATTTTTATTGGACAATTTAACAGTATAAACATAATGTTTTACTTTTAAAACTTATTTTTTAAAACCTTAATATTTTCGGTATTATCTGTAGAATCTAATTGGATAAAAATCATCGTTTACCTATATGTTTAAAATATTTTGATTTTATAGCACATATGCATGTTTTTTATAGCTTTTAACCTTTATGGGCAAGTAAATTTCCTTATTTTAACTAATGTCTATTCGAGTGTCTTCAAGAAATGAATGACAGTTGTCTAATGCTAGTTATATCTAGGGAATTAGGGATATCTTTGTTTCTAATAAATACATTTAGTTTATGTGTCTCTCTCATATGTTTGTAAATCATGCATACAATAATTTCATTCAAGGATATTAAATCTATATGCATGGCAAATTTGATCAAGTTTATCTTGATTTGAC